TATCACTGCTGTTCGGTCCAAGTTACCTGCCCATTGGTAGGGTAATGGTCCTGAGTGCTGGTCACATTGAGGTAGGATAGTGGGAGAGGGGGTGCGCTAGGAGTATTGACGTGAGGATGGGATGGGAGGTGGTCTCATATTCCAGGACACCCACGGCCTACTGCTCCAGGTGATCACTGTGCACTCAGGGACTAGCCTCTACAACACCATGGACTTAAAAAAAAAAAAAAAAAAGTTGGGGCTTGCTATTGGAGGATGCTCGTATCACCTCCAACAGCAGGCACAGATGTTTCGGTTAAAAAATCATAATCATAATAACAATAATAATAATAATAATAATAATAATAATAATAATAACAATAATAATAATAATAATAATAAATAATAATAATAATAATAATAATAATAATAATAATAAGGGATAATTTGCAAAATACCCCCATAAGTTGACATATACACCAAATTGCCTCTGAAAGATGTGGGTACAGCGGAATGCCCTTTTGGACTGAAATCTTTGTGTTGTGCCCCTGTCAGGCGGGTGTGCATCTTTGCAACCTGGACGTCCCCGTTTGGGCCTTGGCCTTTTGCAATAGCGCCTAGGAAAAGTTGGCAAGTACTGGGGAATTTTGCAAAGTTGGACGGTACCCGGTAGGGGTATATTGCAAAGACGGGGGTCCAATGGACGCTAGGGGCATTTCACGAAATACTTCTTTTGTCAGAGAGGTATTCCGCTTTGCCCACATCTTTTAGGGGCATTTTGGCATACATCTCAACTTATGGGGGTATTTTGCAAATTATCCCTAATAAAAATAATAATAAATAAAAAATAATAATAATAACAGTTGGTATCAGAGCCATGACCGCATGCATCCAAGGAACTAGTTAGTTGGCCAGCATCTGTCGGGCTGGCTGTTAGCGATTTGGGGCGGTGCCCCGTAGTCGTCAACGACGTCGGCTGCGACAGCTGTTGATTGATTGGTGCGCATTGGTGAAAAAGCGAGTTAAGAAAAAAAGGGAAAAAAAAGTGGGGCGGTCTCCCGGATTGAGCTGACCCTCGGCTGTAATTAATTAGGGCGTCAACCCTAATTAGCACCACCGGTTGACCTGAGGGTTTCACAAGCCTCCAAGTGGCAGGTGCTGCCTGTTTAGCCATCTATCGGTTTTGAAGACCCTACTTGGGGGAATATAAATTTGCAGCAGACAATTGAGCGGCGAATCACATTCGGGGGTGATTGGAAGTTGCGACGAAGATCCAATTTGGGCGCTGACCGACAGTGAGTCAGCCAGGCCCCCTGTATTTCGGTCAAAAGGTTGACCGGTGGCCATCTCCAATCAAGACCTCACGTCCGTCTCGACGGTTCGCGGTGTTAATTATGCGTTGTCCTCGAGTTGTCTCTTGATTTCGGTTTTGTTTAAGCCACCAGTACCTGGCCCAGCTATCGAGTCCGAGTCTCGGCCGACCGGTAGGCCAATCCGTGCCGAGGCTCGGACTACCGGGCGCAGCCATCCCGAATGTGCAACGTACACAACGAAAAAAAACGGGCAAAAAAAAAACAAAAAAAACAAAGAAATAATAAAAACGATTCCCGCTATCGTTTCGAAAAACGAAACGGGAATGCATCTT